TAAACCACATCCCCCAGTCCATGTGCCTGCTGATTATTTATTTAAAGTCTGAAGTCACCATTGTATAAAATATTACTGGATTTATCTAATTATAACAGGAGACGGAAAAGACAACATGTAGCAATTAGTACAAAGAGCAGTGACAGTTTTTGTTCAGCAAATCAAAAAAGTTAAATTTGTGAAAATGCTGATATATAAATTAAAATAAATGATGAAAAAATAAATAAATAAATAGTTTTTTTGTTTTTTTAACTTTTAAATATGCATATTTTGCTCTGTAAAATACCAAAATCCAACACAAATTTAAGCAAAAATCAAAGTTTCCTTTGTTTTCATAAGCACATAATAATATAATGTTGGTGGGAGGGGGGGGGGGTCACCCACTTTTTTTTATTTGATAGGGGGTGGGTCAACTGAGATTTACAGCTGGCAAAATGGAATCTGCCGACCCCCCCTAAGCCGAAGTAACTGACCAATCCCTTACCTGTGGATGTTGTTAACTGTTAAATTTTGGAATTATTTATAAATATAAATTCAAATTAAAACCAGGGTCTGTCATTCGCATCTGGGAAGCTTCTTTTGCTGGTTGGACGACGTTTTGGAAATTAAATTTTTGTCAAAATCACAGTTGAATGTACATGACCATGAAATTTGTTAATTTTTCTATTGATTGACGTTTGAAGTTGTTACAGTCGAATCCGATATCAATACGAATAGGAAATTGTCTCCAGGTACACGATGACCCAGGACCGTTGATTTCACAGGGTGACTCCACGTTATCTTTTTTTGGGGAGATTTTTGATGTTTAATAATATCGCTTTTTCATTTTATCCCAGATCTGTGCATTTATGACATTTTAAGACAATGATAAGTACAAATTCATTTTTTTCGACCCACAGTTGAAAGTTGAAAGGTCATTCAACATGTGGAGTAGCTGAACCAGTTGTTCATATATACGACAAGTGATTTGCGTGTGTAAATTCTATTCATTGAGCATCTACAACAGCATTATTGATCATGTTAAAGTCAAAAACATTTGTTAAAAAGACAAGGAAAGGCGGCGTGGTGAAAATCGTAAGAGAGCACTATTTGCGTGATGACATTTGGTGCGGATCGTGTTTGTGTCAGGAGTGTAAACAAGAAAAACCAGTTCTTGAGTACAAGCCTGAGATTGAGAGTGATCTGTGTTCCTACCCACACTATCTACTACCAGACACAAACGTGTTAATGCACCAGGTAAGCTAGAAGACACATCTCACATAACTTAAAGTAAAATATTAAGTTGTCTGAGAACACAATCCCCGGAGGTACAAAAAAAAAAAAAAATACCGACAGCAGGCTTTAAGATGTCAAGTAAGATCCTGCAGTAAGATAGAGTCGAGCTTATGAATGATGACTGCACGACAGCTTCAATATCTATTGAAGAAAACAGAGGGATTATAGTTTTGAGTGAGGGGGCCCTAGGGAACTCTTATTGATTTGTTTTCTGATTGATTGATTGATTTATGTTCACATCTATTATGTTAACAGCTACATCCAGTCAATCTATGCTCTCAAATTTGTATGCTTTTCACAAGAAATAACAGAAGAAAACATTTTCTGAATTGTTCACAAAATAACATCACATTAAACAATGTCATTGTATTGGTAGATAGATGTTCTTGAAGATAACATTATCCAAAATGTAATCATACTTCAGACAGTACTTCAGGAGGTAAGTCAGTTTAGATCTGCTTAGCTGTGTACCGATCTGTGCAATTGCTGATATTCTACCCAAGGCTCAGTCATCACACCTGTATGCTATAAGGACATATAATATGATGAGCATTGCATTATATGCACATAATAGTCAGTGATAAAATGCAAGCAATAATTTGTTTACTGTTGCTGTGCTTTGGAAAAGTACAGTCTCAAGTATGACCTAATACAAAAAATATTGTGTTTTCAGTAACTTACTGGAAACACTTGAGTGTGTTTTCAGCACAACATTACTGGGCTGGCGTTGTATTTTTATATGGTCAAACTGGTAAGTGGCCACTAAAGGGTGCTGAACAAATTCTTCACACAAAAGTATCGGCCTGTACATGTACATTGTCATATATTACCGGTATGAACATTTCATATACAAAATGTTTCAATATAACAGTATGCACCTACATTCATCATTCTGTTGGCCACAATTAAAATAAAAAATACAACAACAAAAAAATTATACCTGCCCCTGTTATACCTGTTTTTTGTTTTTATTGTTACAAACAATAGAATATTTAATATTTTATTTGGCCTTAGTAGTGGAGCTTACTTTCGAATGAGCATGCATATACATTGTACACTATCTGTGTAATCTTACGGTGCATTCTGTGTTCCTCACCACCATACAGTGTACTAATTGTGGTGTTGAGATGCATTCTTCTTTAAATGTTCTTTTTAGGTGATGCATTTAAATAGATTTCATTATACAACATGTTATTTCCTAACAGATGAGAAACAGAAATACATCAGGCCATCAGAGAATAAAGGAAATGGTATCCAATGACAACAAGAAATTTTATATTTTCACTAATGAGCACCACAGGTACATGTAGTGTGGATTGTATTCAAATAAACCAGGATATCCCATAATAGTCTCATATCATGGCATATTGTAAAATATGTCTTTTGAGCTAGCATGTTATTTTAGCTAATCTGTAATTTTGCTAATTCATAATGTCGCTGATTTAAAATAAAGTATATTCTGACAATGAGATTGTTAGTACTTTAGCTATATTAGGATTCTGTTAATTCAAGCATATAGTCAAATTTGCTAAAATGACATGATTTGTGATTCCTTACATCAGTGAAACCTACATTGAGAGGGAAGCTGGTGAATCGTCAAATGATCGAAACGACCGTGCAATCAGAACAGCTGTCAAATGGTATGGGGAACATTTATCTAAACAAATTGAAAATAATCCTGTAAAAATAGTTTTACTGACCAACGATATAGACAACCGCAATAAGGCAAGAGAACAGGGGCTGGTTGCTTTCACAGGTAATAATTTGCATATTGTATTTTTTGAAATGTTAATATGAAATTGAAAGGTTTACCATATTATTATATGTTGTAAACATAATTACAATTGATGGTAACTTAAACTTGATACATGAATTTGTTGTGACAAGATGTTGTTAAAATGTAAAGTACTATACCCGGTAGTAAAAATATATTGAAATATTAACAAAATTGCACCATACATTACATCAAATTCAGTTTAGTGACAAAGTCTGTAATACTGAGCAACCTGTTGCCTAGCAACAGAACTTAATGAATGATACAAACCAGGTTATTGATGACAATTTGTGTTGAAATTTTAAAAGCTGGATAGTTGATTCAAACAAATCAACATTAACAAAATTGTTAGAGTATTGTGTACATGGAAAAATAAAATAGCCTTTTGCTTAAAGCTTTAATGGAAATCACTGCTTCATTTGGAAATCTACTTTTATTTCTCTCATTTTTGTTTGTTTTGAGTAACAGATGCACAGAAACAGAGTTATTTTGTTCTATTTTTTGTTTGACAGTTTTTGAATATGTAAGTTCATTGGTGGGAAAACCAGAGCTTGTAGATCGACTTGCAAAAATTCACCAGGATGAACAGAAGAGAGACCAGGTGAGATTATGACATAACACTATGGCCTCACCATGATATTTGTGGGGTATGAAAGATTTTTCCATGACTAATGAGGTGAAGCGAGTGAAAATACTCATCATAACTTTCATATCCTACAAAATTACAAATGTCGGAGTTCGTGAAAATTGTTTTCTATTTTTCCCGTAACATTAAATATACAAGTGTCAACCAAGAAATGTAGCAAACAGAAAAAAAAATCAATAGTTTAAAAAAGTGACCTATGTATTTTAACATCAAAATCATAGAATATACCAGTACCTGTATTTCAAAAACATCAAACCCCCGCATCCAGAATAAAAATAAATAGCATAATATTGCCAGCGGAAATTTTGATCCGCCAGGCATATCAATGGCAAATTTATAGATTCATAGTTCTAAAACCAAATTGTTACATTTTCTATCAATTGTAATGATATATTTAAATATTGCACATATTGAGGCAACCTTGTTAACTGCATGAACACCTAATAAACAGACTGGATTATATTTTGGATGGCTTGTCTGTAGTGTAAATACTGATTATATTTTTAGTGGTGCAACATAGTAAACTGCAGTTGTAGACACACAATAAAAATCCATCTTGTGCATTCCTTAAAACACACATAATAAATTCACTATTAAATATAAATTCAATGTGTAATAATTTGCTTGGTAATGCAGGAGAATGCAGATATCAAAGTTTGTGGAACTCGTAAAATTCAATATCCTGAACACTTGCCGCTAACACAGATACAAACGGGCATTAACTAAAAAATACTTACAAGGTACATTTCAAGCAAGCAGGGAGAATTACAAAGAGGGCTATGTGAATGTGAGAGGGGAGGGTGAAGATATGGTAAGTTAATTTATTAATAATTTGCATCTTTCTGGATATTTTTTGTCGAGTGATTTGTGAAAATCATGTTTTGTTAGTGAAAGGAAAAGGCAGACTGGCTTTCAAGCTGCAGCGACTGGTTATTTGTTTGAGCAACTGTGATTTCAGCAATGTACATTTGTTTTGTTTTTATACCTTGCTGCTGTTTAATCAATGTTTCAGAGGTTTTCTAATTTTTATTTCTTTTCTTTTGTTGAATTTCAGTGTATTTTAATTTTAGTGTTTTGGTGTGTCTTATTTTATTTGTCTTTGTAATCATTTTTTACCTTACTAAACCCACAGATGGTTAAGTTGCGTGATAAAGTTATAATTATTATATTTGTTTTTATATTTGTTTTTATATTTGTTTTTATATTTGTTTTTATATTTGTTGTTCGAATAAATAATAGTAACAAGTTTCTACAATGTAACTTTTCAGTAAGTTGCGCCCTCTAGTGGCCTAACTCTGTGACATCAAATTGACATCTATGCTTGTCTATGTCATTATTTGACTTTTAGAATATTGTCAATCTCTTTAAAAAAACCAAAAACATTTTCATCAATTGACTGCCACTGGTTAAAACAATACTGAATCTATGAATTACAGCATTGCTTACAGCAACACCTTCTCTAATAGAGGGCATGATTAATAGGAAATGTTTATAGACAATGGTCCATTTTGGTTTCTGTCTACAATATAATGTTGTCAATCCATTTTGTAATATTGTAACACTTTGGAAAAGGTTGGACAAAGTTGTTAAAAAATGAGCAAATTGCTACCATGTCATTAATGTTGGTGACCAATAGATCAATTGTTGAACAGCACAAGTGCTTATAACAGTTTCGGAGTTTTGGCCACGCTTTGGCGTTAAAGAATTATTTGTCAACATTACAGTGCTTTTTGTGTTAACACTGTTTGGTTAACATCACAGTTATTGCTACAACACAACAGAATTATTTGTTGAACATTACAGTGCTTATTGTGTTAACACTGTTTTGGTTAACATCACAGTTATTGCTGCAACAGAAATTATTTGTTGAACATTGCCAGATTGTTAAGTGAAGACTGTTCTCAAACACATACTGTAATTTGATGAACTCTACCCTCAATTAATCAACACACCAGAATTGTTGAACATGAACATTACAGTGTTGTTGTTTTGGTTGCTTGGTTAGCACCAAAGAATTGTTGATTGAGCACTATTGTCAATTGCAGTGTTCGTCATTGGCTAAACACACCATAATTGTTTGGTAAACATTTCAGGTTTTTATCAAAGGACTTGCTAATCTCAATAGAGTGGTTCATGAAGATGTTGTTGCCATAGAGATGTTCCCTAAAGAACAATGGACTTGTCCATCTTCTATGATCTTGGCAGATGAAAGAAAATCAACAGAAGAGGATGATGAAGGCATAGAAGAGGATGAGGTAGGTATCAAATCTTTCAGTGTTTATACCCTAAATAAAGTACTTTCTTCATACAATACTGACAGAATACCGAGCAAGGATTTTAAAATATGTTTCTTCCCTCTGAGCTGTTCCTATCCTGAGTACACATGAAAAATTGCAGTATCCTTGTAGCCTTGTCACAACAGTAGTGAATTACAGAGGAGTAGCTGGAAGTTTCTGATCTATGTGTTGTGAGAAAGCAAATACTTGTATGCTGTTATAATAGTAATTTCAGAGGTTTTTATTTTTATTTGGGGGAGGGAGGTACAAAACAAAGTAATTCCAAAAAGTGAAATGCTGTGAAATCAACATTCATTAAAAATATTTTGTTTGTACCAGTGATTTGTTATTTTATTATACCATTTTATCTACCCTTTATAAATCTCTTACAGGAGAGCACCACTACATCAACCAAGACAAGCACAGTCAAAGCATTGCCAACTGG